AGTTCCATTTATAAATTATCACAGTTAATCTGTATTTAACAATAAAAAATAAAATTTAAATTGTACATAAAGAGTAAATATGTTTTGTTTTGCTTATTAACTCTCATGTATAAAAAATCATTGAAAATCTACTTTACTTCCTAATTGCACCTTGTTTACTCCTAGTTAGTTATAATAATATATAAGAAAAAGACAACTTCTTCCCTTAATTCAGAGGTTTGATATTTAAAATATTAATATATATCTGTATACCATGTATACAGCTTCATTCAACCACAACTTGCTTAACCCTATAATCCATAAAATTACAAAAATGAAAGCCTAAAGTATCCTTTCAATAAGGAACCTTTTTTTTTTTTTTTTCAAAATTTTCAGTATCTTTACCACTTACTGGGTGTGTTTGTGTTGGTTTTGTGTGGAGTTCTAGGTTTGTCATTAAAGTTGTTTCAGTTTAAAGTTGTTGTTGCTCACCTTTTAGAGTGCTGAAAAGTGCTCTGAAAAAAAAATCTATTTAAAGGGAACTGAATTTATGGCAAGAGAATTATGTTTGTTTCAAGATGCCTGAAACCCCAGCCTGCTGAGAAACTACTGAACCTCCACTGAACATTTACATCGATGGATGGAGTTCCAACAATTTTAATACCAGGGAGTCAAAGAAATTATTAAACAGAAAAGTTCTAGTAATTGCAAAATATTAGTCTATTCCTCATGATTGTTCTGTATAATTCTTTTTTTTGGACTTAGTCCAAACTAGTTTTAAAATGCCTCAGGTGACAGGGCTCTTTCCATTTTCACACAGTAATAGATCTTCCTTGGAACATTTTTCCTGATACCCTAATAGATCTTTTTTTCAAATTCATCCAATTAGCTGTTTTTGTACACCCTGGAGATATAGTAAATAATTTCTTTCCCCGCTTTTCCAGGTACCACTCAAATAATAATAAATGGTTGCAGTTTCAATTTAGTCAAATTTACTTATCTTTTTTTTTTGGTAATCTTGCCACACACCCACACATTCAACATCACATTTCTTGTCTTTATCAACAAACCAGAGCCTCCATCAAGACATTGAATGCAAAAGTGGCAGCTGAGGAACATTTTAGGGGTGGGTGGGGACCACAGAGGTGGGGAACATCAGAGATTGTTGCTACTAAATAACTGGTTCTGTTGCACTCATCACTGGATGAAGAAAGCCTGCTATGCAGTTAGGCAGAGTGTGCTGCTTGGTGACAACAGACAAGGAGAAGGCTGAGGTTCTCAACAACCTTTTTGCTTCGTTCTTCACTGCCAACCTCTCTCCTCACACCTCCTGAATTGAAGGACCGCAACACAGGGACCTGGGGGACAAAGTCCCTCCCACTGTAAGGTTCGTGACCACCTGAGGAACCTCAACATACACAAATCCATGGGACCTGATGAGATGCATCCCAGAGTCCTGATGGAATTGGCTGATGTAGTTGTCAAGCCATTGTCCATATATTTGAAGTGATGGCAGTCAGTCCCCAGTGACTGGAAGAAAGGAAACATTACACCCATTTTTAAAAAGGGTAGAAAGGAGGACCCCAGGAAGTCCTGACCTATCAGCCTCAACTCTGTGCCTGGGAAGATTATGGAACAGATCCTCGTAGAAGCTATGCTAAGGCACATGGAGGACAGAGAAGTGATTCAAGAAAGCCAGCATGGCTTTACAAAGGACAAGTCCTGCCTGAGCAACCTAGTGGCTTTCTACAAGGGAGTGACTACATCAGTAGACAAGGGACGAGCAATGGATATCATCTATCTGGACTTCTGTAAGGCCTTTGACGCAGTCCCCCACAACATCCTTCTCTCTAAGTTGGAGAGATACAGATCTGATGGGTGGACTGTTCAGTGGATAAGAAACTGTCTGGATGGTCACACCCTGAGGGTAGTGGTCAATGGCTCAATGTCCAGATGGAGAGGGGTGACAAGTATTGTCCCACAGGGATCCATACTGGGACCAGTGCTGTTTAATATCTTCATCAGTGATACAGACAGTGGGATCAAGTGCACACCCAGCAAGTTTGCAGATGACACCAAGCTGAGTGGTGCAGTTAACATTCCAGAGGAATGGGATATCATCCAGAGGGACCTGGACAAGCTAGAGAGGTGGGCCCGTGCAAACCTCATGAGGTTCAACAAGACCAAGTGCAAAGTCGTGCACTTGGGTTGGGACAATCTTTGGTATCAATACAGGATCGAGAATGATGTGATAGAGCAGCCCTGCGGAAAAGGACTTGGGGGTACTAGTGGATGAAAAGCTGGACATGAGACAATAATGTGTACTCGCAGCGCAGAAGGCCAATTGCATCCTGGGTTGCATCAAAAGAAGCGTGGCCAGCAGATTGAGAAAGGTGATTCTCCCCCTCTGCTCTGCTCTCATGAGACCCCACCTGCAGTACTGTGTCCAGCTCTAGAGCCCTCAGCACAAGAAGGACATGGACCTGTTGGAGTGAGTACAGAGGAGGGCCATGAAGATGATCAGAGGTCTGGAGCACCTCTCCTATAAAGACAGGCTGGGAGAGTTGGGGTTGTTCAGCCTGGAGAAGAGAAGGCTCCAGGGGTCTTCCAGTACCTGAAGGGGGACTATAAGAAAGCTGGGGAGGGACTGTTTGCAAGGGCATATAGCAATAGGAAAAGGGGCAATGGTTTTAAACTAGTGCAGGGTAGGTTTAGATTAGACATTAGGAAGAAGTTCTTTACAATGAGGGTGGTGAGACACTGGAACAGGTTGTGCAGAGAGATGGTGGAGGCCCCATCCCTGGAGGCGTTCAAAGTCAGGCTTGATGAGGCTCTGAGTAATCTGATCTAGTTAAAGATGTCCCTGTTTACTGCCGGGGGTTTGGACTAGATGACTGTTAAAGGTCCCTTCCAACTCAACACATTCTATGATTCTATGTCCCGTCAGATGCAATAAACTTCATCTAGCCTGAGTGTTCAGCTGCTCTAGATGCCAATATGAGTCTTTGCTTTGGTTACTTTCTTGACATTCTTTAAAGAGAGTATATCTGAAAATTTTCTTCTGATCTCTCCTTTTTTCATAGTTTAACTTCATAAGTTGTCACTGCCCAAGATGGATCTAGGTGGTTTAGATGGTAACTCCTGGAGGCAATTCCTCTCTATGCTATTCTTTTATACACTCTTGAAAGCCATCACTCTTTTTGATGAGTTGACAGTCACCCCTCCCAGTGCACACATTTGGACAACAGATCCCAAAATGTCAAGCCTATCCATGTCTATATAGTAAAGGACTGGTCAAGCAATCATCCAGAGTAAGAACTGCATTTTGTTAGACCAAGCAGTGCTATTTTGCACTTGTCAGATTAATCAAATTCTCATTTTGTCCAATATTCCTAGAAACCCTCCATCATTTGCAGAACTTCTTATTGAAATCTATGAAAGAAAATAAAAAAAAAAAGAAAGTAATAAGAAGAAAGACATAACCATTCTGTCTGAAGTCTGGAATAATTTGTGCTACTTTAGCAATTTACCAGCATTGATCTCTGTGTAGAAATCCACCTTACATCAGTAGAAAAGGAACGAGGATAAAACATGGCCCATGAAATTGTTTTTCACTTGAAAGTTTTTAGACAGAATAAGCTGCAGATTGTGTTATGAACATCTTTTCAACCATAACACATAACCCTTTGAAACAAGAAGGACATGAAATCTAAAGCAAAGACATTTTGTCAGAAGTGGGGAGGAACATGGCAAAAGCCCACAGAACCATGATAAATGAGAGATACAAATTTAACTCTTTTTTCAGAGACAAGTATGTGTGGATATATTAGCATCTCATCAATTGTCTTTGCATTTACAACATATAGATATATCTATCAGGTTGTTTGCTACAGAAATTCTGTGTTCTGTTGCTGTTGGAACCTTCTAAATATGGTTATCCTCTGGAAGACAGTATCTTTGAGTTAAAAGAAAATTGAACTATTCTGGGTAATTCTGTAATCTTTTTCCCTACATTAAGGAAAGAAAACTGCAAAGAGTAACATTCAGGTTGTCCTGCTATTTTCTATGATGCTACTGGAATAATTAAACAAGCAGAATTTGGGGTCTGTTAATTTTAGAAGATATTCTGAAGACAATAGTTCCACCTAATGCAACAATTTAGCTGAAACAATAGTGACATAATTGACAAAATTACATAATAATTACAGTGCTTTAGAATGAGCTATATTAAGGTATGACTCATCACTCAATACATAAGAAGGTACAGAACCACGTCAAATCCAGCAGTGCAGTGCAGTATAGTGTAGCTGCAGCCAAAAATGAAATATAAAATCAGTGATCTTTCGTAAATAAGTGAGGGGAAGAGAGGAATTAATGGAAAGTATGACTATGATTTTTGTTTTACTTTAATGAATTAAATTTTAAAAGTGACAAGGAATAATTGTACAATTACAATTAAGATTTACATTTTTTTAGAAAAATATTTAATTCTCTTTATTATCTGAACATCACCCTTCCTCTGGCAATACTTGTTATAGTTTGCTTTATTGAAAAGGGAGAACTATTCCACTCCTCAGCTGGGGAAATGATTGGTGAAGTGGAAAAGAAATGATGGAATTTCCTGAGATAATTACATTTTTTATTAGAATACTTTATCAATGATCATTTTGAAAGAAAAGCTGCACGGTGTAACAATCAAGCATAAAACACATAACTTTCCATAAAACATTTTGAATTATCTTCTCTAATAGAATTTGATTGCAAATAATTATTTTAAAAACTGAAGAGGCTGAATATACGCATATTGGACAAAACTGTATTGAAAATGTCTTCCCTTAAGAAGCTTTTCTTGTTATGTAAAATACATATATACTATCTATCATTTTCCTATCTGATAATACCTTCCTTGATAATAAACACAGCCCTGGTTGAGGACATTATTCAATAGCACAGTTATATATCCTTAGCAAAGTTACTATGCTAAGCTTTTTCTATCAAAATGTGTGATAGTTTGTACTCACCAGGTGTAAAATTATACCGAGCAGAAAACCCAATAGATTCCAGCTCACCATCAGAAAAAAATTTAATCCATAGGAATCTGCCACTGGATTTTATCATAGGTGGATTTTGCTGTCCACAGAAACGTCCAATGATTGGGGAAAAGCCAAAAGGTCCATCTCGTACTTCAATATGGTCAAATTTACACTCCCAAGAAGGCTCTATGGAATATTTTTCATCAAAGTGCAGTTCAATGCATTGTCTAGGGGCAGCTAGAGATTAAAAGAAAAAGTATTTTATTATTTTCTAAACCAAGACCCTTCAAACCTCAAACAAAATTAAAGTAAACCAATATATCAATTGTGTATGCATCTTAATGTTTTGCTTAAAAAATTGTTTGAAAATTAGTACATCTATATTATTATAGATTTTACCATCATCAGCCTACTCATCTATTCTTCTCCTTTAAAAAAGTGCTCATGACATCAGTTCTTAGCAAAACCAACAGAGATATCTATGACTTAACAAAATACACTTTAGGAACAATAGGTTCAAACACAAAATCTTTCTAAGAAACATGCCTCAGGAAAACCAGTGTTTTCTTCTACTGGGTGGAGGGGGGAAATGTTAATCAGAATACTTTTTTATCTGATGTTCACAAAGAACTGCGTTATAGTAAGAAGGACAAATTCTGTTTCTGTATGTATTGCAGTTAATGACAGGCTTGAGTGTAATTGCTTATACTCAGATTTACTTATCTCATTTGAAACAAAAGGACAAGTGTAGTGAATTCTAACTTAAACAAGATAAGGATGAAGCAAAATTAATGTCTCACTAAAGAGCAAACAATATTCTACTGAAAACCTTGAAGAACTTTTATAGTGTTCACTTAATTAGACACAAAAACCATCTTAATTAACAGATATTAAGGCTAGTGGCAGTCAGGATGATGTCCAAAATAAATATTCCCTAACATCTCCCATATAAAGCAAAATAGTTACCGGGCGAACTATAGTATTTTCTTAAAAGGAGAAAAAAAGAATCATGTTTTTGTCTATAAATTTTAAGATCTGCAGCATCCCTGAGGTGCACTGTTCCTCTGCTTAAACCTGTCTGTAGCAAAAAATGTATGCTTTCAATGTATAGATTGTGATGCAATATAGCCTTTTGCTGACAAAGACTTCTGCTAAGACAAGGGTTTGTTGTGTCACTGCATGCTGTGCCTCTCATGGGACCGTGTCCTACACTTTACACATATTAGAAGAGGCTGAAATTGTTATAAACTTCGCCTGAGTTACCACTCTTTTCACATTAAAACAGTGCATAAGCTTAACATGGAAACTGCTGTCACTCCGGCAGTCAGTATCCTTCCATTTCTTTCCTCAGGAATAACAGGAACACTATCAGTGTGACCAGAACCTAGAATCTTGTATGTATTTTGAAATCTTTTAAATTGGAGCTTTTGGGATGAGCTCATTACTTACTTACGAATGGAGACTTTTTAAGAATAACTAAATAAGAAGACGTAAGGTAAATCTTAACATCTTTACATATAAGCACACAGTTACATCCCATTTACTACTATTTAATGTAAAATACAACTTCATTTTATGAGAAGCATTGAAGAAGTAACTTAATAACACAGGTTATTTGAGAAGAAAGATTATTTTAATACCTTTACATTCAATGTTAATATAATTGGGTGATTCATGTTTATTGAAATATTTATTTTAGTGTAGGAAACAAACCTTACCTACTGTTCTCAGTTTGAAGAAATTCACACATAGGCAAGTACTTACTATTGGGTCATTGTTATTTATGCCAATTTATAGGAAAATTGTGATCTTTGTGCCCATAAAATTCAATAGCAAAATCAAAACCTAAAACTTTACATACAATTGCACCAAATTTACAGCCCATAGAAATAAAACTACTTAGAAAATGTGAAAAAAACTTACAAAATTAAAATTCAATAGCAAAACTTGTAAAGAACATCTTATTAATGCTAGTCTTGGTGAGGTTTGAAGACCACAGTAGATCCTTTAGATTATAGGGAAAGACTGAATAACTGGAAGATATCATCGATTATTTTTTTTTCAGATTTTTCTACCTTTGATTTCACATATTTATAACAAGTATTGATTTAAACTTAACTAAGCAACACTAAGGCAGAAGTAAGCAATCAACACCTTTCAATCTGAGATTGTATTTTGTATGTTCTTGTTCCATTTCAGGAGATTTGTTGAGAGCTACTCATCATTCACCTAGGGACTGCTTAGTCAGGTATCAGAAACTCCTTCCTGGCAATGCTTTAGGTCATCTTAAGAATCCTTATTAATCATTGAATGACAGAATTGTAGGGTTTGGAAGGGACCTTCAGGGATCATCTAGTCAAACCACCCCTGCAAAGGAAGGTTCACCTCGAGCAGGCTGAAAAGGAACACATCCAGGTGGGTTTTTAGTATCTCCAGAGAAGGAGACTCTACAACCTCTCTGGGCAGCCTGTGCCAGTGCTCTGGCACCCTCAAAGTAAAGAATTTTTTTCCACTTATTCAAACAGAACTTCCTGTGTTCCAACTGGTGTCTATTGCCCCTTGTCCTGTCCCCAGAGACCACTGAGAAGAGCATGACCACATCCTCTTGACACCTACCCTTTAGATATTTATAAGCATTGATGAGATCCCCCCTCAGTCTTCTCTTGTCAAGGCTAAATAGACCCAGGTCTCTCAGCATTTCCTCATAAGAGAGGTGCTCGATTCCCTTGATCATTGTAGTCTCCACTGGACTCTCTCCAGTAGTTGACTGTCCTTCTTGAACTGGGGGGCCGAGAACTGGACACAGTACGGCCTCACCAGGGTAGAGTATAGTGTCGACCTGCTGGACACACTCTTCTCTGCTTTCATTTATTTTTCAACAAAGCCAAGATGAGGCTTTTCCTAGTGAAGCTCAGTTCTTGTTAGACAATCACATCAGCTCAAGAAGCATTCAAAGAAGAGTTTCTACTTTCCCCCAAAGCTCCCATGTGTAGAGGCTGCTCCACTTTAAGAATGGAGCATTGACTATTCATTAGCATCTTTTCTCCACTGCTAGATAAAACAAGGCAGGGGAATGAGTTTAGGGGCTGGACCACTGACTCCGTAAATGTTAAAATTACTTCCTGGCATGAGTTTGGCCATGCCAGTCAGAACTTCCAAAACTTGGTCTTAGGCATGATGAGTTTCACACCAGTCAAGGACCATTCATAGCAAACAGTTTGCATCTGTACTCTTGACTGGAAAGGTGAAAGGAGTTCATCTGTACATGTATGATTGTGCCTATCAGTCTCAAGGCCCATGAACATTTCCTGATCTGTTTTAGGTATTAGTACAGGTACTGCCTGTGTCCCAGCCTTCTGTGCAAACTAAGATGAGGTCCTTTCTCCTAATTCTCTTGAGGAATGCAACACTTTATGTTTCTGTTACTATGAGGACAGTGGTGATGATAAAAGATTGGGCAAAGGCAGGAAGGAGTGCTATACATGCATTCATGCATCTTTTCATTGTGTGCTTCATTTGTATGATGTTCAGAGTTAAAGGTTAAATGTTTTGCTTGCAATAATTAACCTAAGAAACAAAATTATTGAAATCTTCCTGGAAATGATCATAAGGGATGAAAACACACAATTCAAACTCCCAACGTTAACTCCTCTCTTTTAGAGCAAAAAGTTATTGTTTTGGACTTATACTCGGGCTTTAGGAAGGAGTTTCTTTGCCAAATGCAAACTATAACAAGGAGGCATTGTATAAATACACATCTTGTGCCACAGCTTTTGCAACAAAGCCTATGCAAATGCGGCCTTAGTAAAACATACAGAAACACAGTGAGAATGAATCTAGAATAATGACTAATAAAAATTCATATATAGCTACAGAAAAACAGAACAAAACAAACAAACAAAAAGCCCAAAATACGTAATTCTCCTAGACTGAATTGGAATCTGGCCATCTAATCAGAAAAGGAAAGATGGAGTGGTGATTTCTAGTATCTTTATTCACAGGTAAAGCCCATTCACACTGTCAGAACCTTTTATGTGCCTGCAATAACCAGAAAATTTGTTGTTAAGTCCAAATGAAATATATTGAGGTGGTCCCATAAAATTATTTTACTTCAAATCTTAAAATTCTTCCATATTTAGCTTCCAATTACCTTTCTTCAAAAATTTTTAATACCATGAAAAGACTACTTAGTGCTTGCATGTCTTGTCACATTTTTCATCTAATTATCTTTCACAAGTGCTTTCTTGAGATTTTACAGTCAATGAAAAAAAAAAAGCATTGGGTTCCAACTTGTGTTAGAACAGTTGCAGGGAAAACACACAATTAAGGTTTTAATTCTGATCAGCCTCTAAGTCTGTGTAACTGACAGCTGAACTTAAGCGAAAAATCTGTTTCAATTTACCAGACTGCATGGAAATGAGACATTGAACTCAATACCTACCCCCATCTATCTGAGCTGCTGTAGTACTGATAGTTTTTAATAATCCTTGGTCTTTCTGGTTGTCCAGCTAGTATTGATAAGAAAGCTAGCTATAGCCTCCTTTCAAAAGAGGATTCTTTCCTTGTTTTGAACACAAAAATCACTGCGAAATACAAAAAGGCTTTGAGCAGAGATTTTTCATACAGTAACATGTGACCACTTTCAAATACTTTTGAAATATCTGGGATTAAAGAGTTCAATGGTCTTTAGTGAAAACATGGAAGTCCTTCAAGAGAGCTAACTCTGAATGTAACACTAACATAATGTGTAAGATTTATTTCACATCTCCATAAAGCAATTCTAGATAATACCTATATTTAAAAATAAGCATTTAATTATTAAAAACTGAAGGATGGATAAAACCTTACAAGCATTTCACTTACAGGATTGCCAAACCAATTTTTAAGATATATTGTGTAAAGTATGACTATCCCACCCCCCAGATATTTTTAACACAAACAAAAGCCTTTGTTCCTACAAAATCTCTTGCGCAAATTTGTCTTTGGAGTACCCATGCCAAATTTTCTGCAGCTTGGCAAAGGCTAATGCTACCATTGCTGCAGTTGTTCCAGGCAGCTGTGAATTTTGCCAGGTTAGTCATGAATATGAGAAACATGGATCAAATTTGGCCTATCAGGCAATTTAATGTGTACACTCAGATATTTCTTACATTTTATATATGCCCAATAAAACTGAAATTAAAAACAACAAATTCTCAATGGATTTTGACAGGAAGATGGGATTCACCACAAGTTCTTCTATAGCATAATAATTTTTGTACTGAGTCCATGACTTCTGGATGACCTAAAAGATTTCTTTTAGAAAGGCATCCAATCTGGACTTAAAAATTCCCAGTTGTTCCAATAGTTAATTATCATTACTACTAAAATAGAAGAAAAGAAAAAAAAAAAAAAAGAAAAAGAAACTTCTAGCTGTTTGATCTGCTTACGCCTTTGACTGCTAGGATAGAAGCTCCTGCAGTCAGAAATCCTCTTCTCTTTTAGAAACTCACAGTCTATGATTATGGCAATTTTTTTCAGCTCCTTTACTTCACCGAAGTAATTTTGAAATGATAAAAGGCTTGCATACATTTAAGAGGAGCAACAATGTGGGGAGAAAAATTGTATCATGAAATTAAATTCAATATTATTACAATACTACATGCTGAAGTCCTCGCTCAAGCCCACTAAAGTCAGTAGGGATTGTGTTTGAGGGAAGCCATTAGACTTTGCTCTAGATTGTCTTTGATTGCAAAAAGTGAAGGAAGGAAAGCAAGCCAGCAGGAAGGAACCTGGTGATTCATACACATATTTAAACTCACATCACACAGATGTCAGCATGGTATATAGTGCTGGTATATGGAACTCTCTAAGACTTACAAAGGGGAGATAGCAATGTAGGAATCTTATTACACATCATATTGACAGTCCCTCAAATTTGGTACTTGGTATTCAACAGCAGCCAGAAGCTATTGGAATAATAATAATAATAAATATAGGTTTACTCTATAACTGAACGTATGTTTACGTCTTGGATTAGCAAGGATTATCCACTCTGTAGATTGTTAACCTACCTCAGAGATGTTGTTATTAGTAAAATAATGAATTCTTTTTTTGCAGTCCTTTAACTTCAATATCTTATGACAATGAGTCGTACAGAATATAAAAGATAATGGAAAGGTTTTCACTTGCTAGCCTTCTTTATCATTTTCTGCCATCTTAATATTTTGTAAAAAAAAATAAATGAACAAATAATCATCTTTAATTAAAAAATAGGGGTTTTTTGTCCTTGAGTGTTTCTTATTTTGCCTCTTTTGAAAATTCCAGTTTTTAAAATATCATTGCTCAGACACCATATCTCTGCTTATTTTTGTAACATTTTTCAGACATTACTCTTCCTGATCTTTTTAGAAGATAGAAATGGACAGGTGGATATCAGAGCTGAAAGCATGCAACATGCATGTTTCTCATCAAATTATGTACTAATAGAGCTGCTCTCATCGTGCATTTTAAAATACCCTGGTAAAAATCAAACTGTTGATTATGGCTGGAGAGGAAGCAGAAAATATTGATGTCATAAGAAATTATGTGCAAATGTTTTTTGCCAGATTGATTTTTCCCATAAAATATAGTAAGATGTTTTGAATTTGGATTATTCTTTCTGCTATATGTTGTTCCAAACTTCTCAACATGAAATTTCATCATCATAGAAGCTGTTTGATTAAATCTCTCCTTCCTAAATTGTTCTTAGACATTTCCAATTTGAGCTATTCTAAATCATGCTATTTCAATAGCATATCTTGCCACCTTTCAGCTTCTTAACTATGTTTTATAAGTATTTATCTAATATAATAAAGACAAAGGTCTTTAAAATAAAGGTCTTTTGGGCACCTTCTTACTAAGATGAGGAACTCCTTATGGCCTGAGATATTGGACCAGGTTTACAAAAATGCTTATATTTTATTTCTTTTTCCATTGCCTTCCTCTTTAATAATAAAACACATCTCTGTGTTTCAGATCCTTAAAGATAAAATAGGATTACTTTTTACCAGTCTCACAGGAATGTTAGAATTATAACTTGATTAATATATGCAAAAACACTTGGATCTAGCAACCTAACACTAAGCAATATAACACTAAGCAGTACATATTAAATCTATACATTTATCTGTGTATTTGTTATTATTATTAAATAATTAAATAATTAAATAAATTAAGTAGTACATATTAAATCTACACATTTATCTGGGTATATTGTTATTATTGTTATTTTGAATCAATTACTAAACCATGAAAGAACTTAAATGTTTACCATATGCCTGCTTAAATTCTAGACTCAAGAGGGAAGACTACTCAAGCATAAATTTCCTTTAAAGGGCTTATTTGACTCGATGATTTATAATAAAGTCTTTATTTCCAACTTCGGTCAGGCTACCTAGCACTAATGTGGAACTCAGAAAACTGTCATTTTGTTGTGATTTTTTTTTCCTAACCAACGCATACAGCATATACCATCCATCATTTAGATATTTATGAAATATATTTCTTTTAGTAACTCAGCACTAGATTTGGAAAGACACGCTGGTTTCTAAAAGTGCCTAGTGGGGTGTTCTAAAGTAGTTAATTCAATTTTAATTAGCTATATACCTTTGAAAATCTCTCTTGGAACTACCTACATCTGTAGTCAAATAAATATTTCTACAAACCCTGGTTCCACCACTTGTAGTTAATAATTCTGTCCAACTAATCATTGACAGAACAGGTCTCGATGTTGTACTCTGCATGTAGTCACAAGTCATGAATGAATCTTCTTGGTTCCAACAACTTACCGTTCTGTATCGGATTCATCTTTTCTGCTACCAAGCTCTGACAGCATCTAATCACTATTACTTTCCACAAATTCATTTTTACAACAATCCTTTCAACATCCATTTTTCTAAGACTGATGAAAAGAAACCATGTAACTTGCTTGTAATATACTTCTAGCCTTTCTTACAGAACGTCCATGGCTGCAACTGCCTGATCTTTAAAAACTGTGTCTTATGGCTGTTTGGTGATAATGTTTATTCTTTTCTGGTTTTCTTTTGGTTTGGTTTTGTTTTCTTCATTTATTTTCATTTCTCATGAACACCTGGATGGAAAATAATTTTTACACTCACTATATGGAGATTTTCTGTTTGGCTTTCTTTACTGTACTTTTCCTAGCTATGCTTGTCATCCCTGATTCAGTTATGATAAGTTTAAAATACTTATATGAAACTCAATACTTATATGAAACTCAAAAAAGTATTTTCATTTCCTGTGTTCACTTTTTAAACTAATTTTAAAATATTATTTCTTCTGTCATATTACAGGATTTTAGGTTCTATTCATTCTCTGAATATCCTAAAATAAATTACACTGTGTTTATTACGAAGTGACTCATGCATACTTAGCACCTGAACTAAATTATGAGTGATGTCAGGAAATAAATCAAATATTTTCTAGTATTTCTTAGTATGCTCTCCAAAATTTTTATTTTTTTACCAAAAAAAAAAATAATGCAGAGATAGAGCTTCTCTAAATCTTGTGTTTTGAAAAGTTTTATCTTGATCGTATAGGCTTTACCTCACATATAATAAAAGAAAACACTTCTTTTTAACACAGTTGATAATAGAATATAAAGTTTTTGCAGCTGGTCACCTTCTATAATGTAGACGCACTCTCTGTCAGGAGGATACTTGTTGGGGTAATTGGGTGAAGTGAAGATGCCTCCTTCTGCATATTTTGTCCAAGTTCCACACTGCACTGGTTTCTGTCCTTCGGAAGTATTTTGCTTTTCTGTAAAATGATCACATTAAGCATTATATAATTAGCTGAAAAATAATTATGCCCCTATGATAATTAGAACTCTTTCACAGAACAAAACAATCCCGTCTGTCCGTGACCTCAGATTTTTTCTGTTGAGACCAAGTATAATCATTTACCCAGGGAAAACAAGACTTTTCTTTAGCGGTGCAAATGTATAATTTTTACTCAATTTTTTCAAAGCAGAGAAAAGGCTTGGATGTCTAGGGAAAGACATATTTATACTGCTTTTTAAATAATAAACTTGTAGAGACAGCATGTGCTCAAGAAGTGGGAGACACAAGTTTCCCACTCATGTATCTCAGAAGGCTTGAGCATGTGCTCTATCAGCAAGCTACATGCCATAATAAAGGAATACATCAGAGTTGCAAAAAGAAGAAAAAACCCACAGAATTATGGTAGAATATATGAACTATTTTGAATTCGCAGCAGCTTAACTCCATATTCACCAAACAGAGATAGACAAGGGAATTTCTGGATTAAGGTTCATAGATTATTTTTATCTTGCCGTTTGCTGTTTAATAAATAAATAGCTCTGAGGCCAGGAATCACAGCCCAGAACTTTCCTCGTCCTAGGTGAATCATCAGAGAGCAGAGTCAGAGCTTCTTGTTTGCTTTTTTCCTAGCCCTGAAACTCTTGCGCTCCTTTCTGCACATTGGCAGAGAGCCTGGAGACAAAGGTTTGAGTCTGTTCAGGCTGAAGAAGATGAAGGATCATTTCCTGGGCATCACGCTTTAACAAGTAGGCTAAAATAAGATAGATTGTTCTGAGGGAAAAATGCCTAAGCTTGTATTAAAAGGAAGATTCTAGACCTCACACAGGCATCTGAAGAGTACTCCTGTGTTTTGATCCAAATGAGATATCTATACCCAAGGAGTGTCCCATCTAACTTAAGCCTCTGATGCATAGAGCTGAGTCATTTGAGGGTCCCTTCTATGATCAGTGGAAGGAGACGGGAACCTTTGAAGGATTATCTTAACCACCTGCCTTATGCTCTGCAAGCATTTCTCTTTCTTCCTGGTCTGTATCCAAGCTAAGTACGACACAGTTCCTAATTCCCTGAAATGAATTCTGGTCTGCAGGGACTGAGCATTCAGACACACACTGTGTTTTGCACCTCTCCCTGCTTGGCTCTCACCACACTTAGCATCCAGGGCCTTTAAGAACCTCTTTCTTTCCCCACCAATATCAGATTTGGAATTCTACTTCAACAAGCAAGAAGATCTTAAAAGTAGACAGCTCAATACCCAAATTGGACATCCCAATTTGAAAGTGGAGGCACTTCACAGTCTTTACTTAGAGTCAAACTGAGTCTTTGGTTAGATCTAGCTGTGGTTCAGGTCACTAACTTGTTTAAGAAAGTACCAATGGATTTTTGTGTGTGTACAGGCACAACGATACTCAAAACAGATGAACAAAGGACAAACACTGGAAGCACTCGAACTACTAAAAATCTCAAGAACTAAACTAGCAACTCAAATACATACTTTGGACTCTAACACATAACGGCTGAAAAAAATATCTGAAGTTCACATACCTGTTCCTTTTTTGGTTGCCCCAGACAAATGTAGAATGATTAGACTTGCTACAACTGAAAGAGAAAAGTGCATTAGATATCGCAGTGTGATAGTGCCTGCAATTAAATCAATAGTAAACATCTGTCTTAGATGAATATGAGTTAAGTAGAATTACTGTAAAAATTTTTTTTCATGTTCACTTGCATCTTTAAATTGCACATTTTGTATAAACAAGTTTCTTTGTGATCTGCCCTTGGAAGTGTTTATCATTGTAAGTGGATCCAAATAAAGAGATCTTTTGGCTTTAAAACAAAATCCCCAGGCACTGATGTTTCCCTCCTATTTTTTTTTGGTTTTTTAATATTAGAGAAAAAAATTTCACCAATTTTTCTTTATGTAATCATATCTTGGGCCAGTAATGGAAAAGTGGCTGACTTTAACAGAGGGAAACAAAGGCCTGCCAAGTTTCAGTGCCAATGGTCTCACTTACGTCTCTCGCTATGGCATAATAAAATTTGGAAATGAATACTGGGACTGTGAAAGAAGTGAGGGGTTGGGTTCTTCATATCCATCAAAGCATTTGTAAACCCCTACTGAAGTAAATTATCAAGGGTGCTTAACAGTTTCATTAATCTAGTTTGTTTGACTTGTCGAGAGGATGTTACTTTGTGCTGCAGTGAATCTGCAGCCTGTTTTGCAAAGAGAAATCTCCTATCTCCAACCATGATAGGACAGCTGTGCCTCTTGGGAGAAAATGTGGCCTTTCTTAGATGGAATTTAACCTGGAGCTAGTTCCTGAGTTTCTGGGAGTTTCCGAATACAACATTTTAAGTAGAAAAATGCTAAAAGGCAAACACTTAGGCCAGTTGTAATGAAGTCTCTTAGGAAGATCAAAATGACTAGCTGGCTACCTGATGAAGAAATTATGCACTGATTTTCTTGTCATCACCCATATCTTCTTTGGTTATTGGAGAAAGTGGGATAGCAAGAGCAAAAGAGAACAGATCCATCAGTTCCTGGAGTGCTCAGGGTTTTGACCCCAGCTAGTTTGGCATTAAGCCCAGACATAGTGCCCAGACTGCACTAAAGTTAAAGTGGAGATGAAGTTGTGTGTTTATTCTGAGTATTTTGGATTGATCAGCTACCATTTCTATTGTTGACTTTGATAAGGAATTGATGGACCTGTGGTCTTTAACAAATATAACTGAATGGCATCCTTTCCTCTTCTTATTCCCAAGGCAAAAGGCATCATGGGCTAGTAACTAGCTACTTAAATGATCCTTTCAGAAATGGTGCTTGCATTATTTTCAGCTTCTATACTGCAAATTATATGCAATTTTTACCCCAAAGGAAGCCCGTCTCTCCATATTTCCAGTATTCTGATGTCACTGAGATCTCTATTTCTGTACCTTTGACCCTTCCCATGTGACAGAGGGTTTGCAGCATGGATGATGGCTACCTTTTTAAACATGGAGAGGCTGAAACACAGGGAAAATGAAGTTTTGGCAGCATATTCACTATTTCTTGGTCAGGCTCACAGCCCCTGTGTCTTTGAATCCCACAGCTAACAGAGACGGACATTGGCAGATCTGGTAGCTAAAAACTCTTCTGTGTCATGGGCATTCAGTAAGAACATTACATCCTCTGCTTGCATCTGAATGCTTCCCAACCATTCATGCCCCTACTCTCCTCAGGGATGGATTCTGGAAATACATGCTATCTGAGACTCTGCCCGCCGGCTGTGTCAGAATCTGAAAGCAATGAAGGATTCACCCATTTACTAAGTTGCTCATTTACTTTAGCTGTGTTTCACGCAGTGAACATAGTGCATCTATGCCTGTCATCCTCACCAGTAAAAACCTAATTTCTCTATAGCGTAAGGTGGACCGGTGTTAGAATACAGAGCCAGCTGTTGTTTTCTTTCTGCCCATAAATTTATGGAAGCTAGAATAGAAGGCACAGCAGCTAAACAAACCCCATGTGAGAAATGTTTTTTCTTAGTCAATTAATAATAATCCATATCTGATTCTTACAGGTTCATTTTAAGTGATTTTATTTATTAGCTCTCCCTCCTTTTTTCTACAGAAAAAATTGAAGTTCAGAGAAGTTAAAGAGTTGGTCCAAGTCACAAGGATATTATTACCAAGATGACAGAAAAAATATAAGTCTTTTCAATTCCAGCTGTACCCACCAGAAAAGATGCTTCCAACTTACACAGCTATGTTATTCCAAAGCAGGGGGCTATACTTGCGTATCATGTCAGTATTGATTACTAATAAGGAGTCAAAATAATCTTCAAAATAAAATGTAATAGACAAGAGACTAAGAAACTAAGATTTTTCTTAGGGTTAGACCCTAACCCTAGCATACTATATCCAACATTTGGACAGATGAAGAGAAATACACCTCCCATATTTCAAAAAAAAAAAAAAAAAGCCTCTTGGTTTAGTGGCATTAACATCAGCATTGCCAAAATATATATATTGCCAGAATGTAATTAAAATTATGGGCTTTATGGGAAAAGATAACACAATATTTTTTACTTCCACAGTCAAGGCACTCCATTTTATTCTATGACCCCTTGCCTTTTTTTGTTTCTCCAGCCACAGGAAAAGAACAATGCGTCTCATAGAGAGGGAGTAAAAAAAAAAAAAAGACCCCAAAGACATCAGTAACGCACTCTTCACTCACTCAGAGCTGTCACTTGGGGAAGCCTTGACAGTATAGCAACAATATTGTGTTATCTGGGTTTGGGAATATTTTTAACGAAGTTTCCATCAAATTTATTGTTGCTTTCCCTCTGTCTTCCTCCTCCCCCTTTCACTCCTAATCATGGGTGTAATTATAATCATGCTTTCTAGTGCCACTCTGATTACGCATCTTTGCACCCTTTTGGATCTGTGCATTTTTCCATTACAAGCTGTACATTAAGAGATTTATTTCTTGGCCAAGCAGCTTTTTTTGAGGCTGTGACTTGGCGTGGACGTAGCTTAGCCTGGCGAAGAGTTGTTGGACAAACGATACCTGGCCACGGTGCTTCTGTTGCACAGGTGCGGGTGCAGAGAGAGGTGCTGGAAGGAGCGGTGGCCACTCAAGCCCCCTCAGCAGAGTGGGCCCTCTGCAAAGCCGAGGCAGAAGAGGGGGTCCCTTCCACGCACCCTGAGCCCCCCCCGCCCCCATAATTGTTACCTTTCGGTGCCTCCCTGATGCTCCTGGAAGATTTCTCCCGAGGGGGCCGCCCC